TTATGCTTATTTCATAATAGTAACGACATTTGTGCTATTCTTTTTTTTCATGTTGATTAACTAATGAGCATATCTATCAGATTTTGTAAACGACATATCCATTTTACAACTTAAATAAGTTTAACTTATTCAAATCAGGGCTTGGTAGTGTCGTGGATGCTCATATTCATGTTTATAGATAGAACGGCATATGTGATGTTACGTTTAACGACACTTATGCCACTTTATTAATTTCTCCAATATTTAGCTTCTTTTCTAACGCAATGACCTCGAGCATTGGATCCTCTAACTTAAAAAAGTCAGAAATGTTAGTTATGTGAAAAATATCGATAGAATTGACATAAATTATATGATATTGAATGAGCAACATCAAGGTCATGATCTACGTTCATTAGAAAATAAAATTAATGAGCATATCTCTTAAATTTTGTAAATGATACATCTATCTTGCAATATAAATGAGTTCAAATTATCGAATATCAGGGCTCGGATGGGTCGTGATTGCTCATACTCATGTTTATAAATAGAATGACATACGTTACGTTTAATGGCACTTCTACCGTTCTGTTGATTTCTCTAATATTCTACTTCTTTTTCCACTTTAATGATCACTATCATTGGATCCCCCAACTTATGAGAGTTAGAAATGTTGATTATCTAACAAAGTGCAATAAAATTGACATAAATTATATAGTGTCAAATTATTAAAATCACAAGACATTGTCTACATTCGTAAGAAAATATAAATAATGAGCATATTTTTTAAATTTTGTAAACGGTGTGTCCATTTTGCAACATAAATGAATTCAACATATCGAATATCGGGGCTCGGATGGGTCACAGCTACTTATACTCGTGTTTATAGAAAGAACGATACATGTAATGTTTAACGGTACTTACGTCTTTCTATTAATTTCTCCAATATTTTGTTTCTTTTCCACAGCAATGACCTCAAGCATTGGATCCCCTAACTTAAGAAAGTCAGAAATATTAATTATGTGACAAATATTGATAGAAATGACATAAATTATATCATATTGAATGAGTGACATCACAAGTTATGATCTACATTTGTTAGAAAATAAAATTATTGAGCATATCTTTTAAATTTTGTAAACGACACATTTATCTTACAATATAAATGAATTCAACTTATCGAATATCGGGGCACAGACGAGTCATGACTGCCCATACTCGTGTTTATGGATAAAACGACGTTTAACGACACTTGTACCTTTCAATTGATTTTCTCAATATTTTGCTTCTTTTCGACCGCAACAATCTTGAGCATTGGACCATCTAGCTTAAGAAAGTCAAAAGTATTAGTTATGTGACAAATATCTATAGAATTGACACAAATTGTAATATATTGAGCGGGTGACATCGCAAGTCATGATCTACATTTGTTAGAAAATATAATTAATGAGTGTATCTTTCATATTGTGTAAGCGACACTTCCATCTTGCAATATAAATGAGTTCAACTTACCAAATATTGGGATTTGGAAAGGTGGTGGCTGTTAATACTTATATTTATCGACAGAATGGCACACATGAGTTAGATAGAAATGACATAGATGAAAGAAGTCATAAATGTTGGCGCTAAATGTTAGATTAAACCAAGCTTACCCATTTGTTTGTTCAGGAACCACAATCCTCTGATAGTCGAATGTGTTGGTGTTAGAATTTTCCTCACGCACTATGTGTACCTTTATCAATTAGGGAACGACCACTTGAATAGGCTTTATATTCATTTTCTTTACAACAATGTCACAGGTGCCGTTCTCATGGATAAGTTATATTCGATAACAATACTTGTATCGTTCTTTTAGAACTTTTTTATTTCAATAACGGCACATAACGGACCTTTTCATCCTCTAAACGACATTTGTATCGTTCTGTCAAAACATTTTATCTCAATAACAATATAAGTGTCATACTCAAGAAACATGCTGATAAATTTCTAACTTATACACCGTTTAATAATGCATTTTAATGAATAATGGGGCTCAAACAAGGGCTATATGTGTAAACACGAGTATAAGTAGCTACGTCTTATTTGTATTCCGGGAACCAATAGTGGAACTCATTTACGTTATTTATGACATCGTCAAACTTTTTATACAACATACGTTAGGGAGTTCATTATTAAATATTATTTTGTTGAAAAAAATTAGACATAGGTGAAACTTTCGGAATAACACAAGTGTCGTTACTGGACAGGAAAAAGACACTTGTGCTGTTATGTGCATAAATACGAGTATAAGCAGTTACGGCACGTTTGTTCCTTAAAAATAATAACTGAAACTTATTTATGTTGTGCATGACATGTACAAAAGTTGATAGATATGTTCATTAACTTAATCGACACATATGAGTGTGATGATTTGTGCTTTTACCATCTCAATAATATAAAATATGTCATTTCAATCGGTCTTTGTGACTAGTCAATCTTTTTGTATTATATACGTTAACAAATCCATTATTGGAGGTCATTTTGTTTAAAAAATCAAACTATCGTCGATAACGACTGTAGTGTCGTTTTATTTTACAAATAATGTTTGGAGTGATGTTCTATATTTCGTATAGCAGTTGGAGTGCTATTATATCCAATGGTTGTAGAGAACATGAAAAACATATTAAATACAAAAACAATACTAACTAAATATTGTTTAATAATAAAAATACAACATAAATGCGATCTCTAAGAGCATCTTTCTTCAAATGTATATGTGATTTTTCAATGTAAGTAATAAGCTAGCAAACCCTTGTTCAAATACTCAAAAGATACCTAAAGTAAGTGAAGAATATACAAAGAACATAATTTTAGGGTAGTAAGAATGGTGATTACAATTTTGAGGACTTAAAATTGAAGAAGATGAAGAGGGGAAGAAGAAGACGTATTAAAAAAAAAGAGAAATTAGGGTTTTAAGATGAATTTGGAGGAGAAATGAAAGGATGAATTGAGAAAAATCAAAGGAAAATTCTGTCATTTTGCCAATTAAAAAATTTAGCTATTATATATTTATTTTTATTATTGGTCAAAGGCCATTAAACCAAATACATTATCTAGTTAGAGTTGAACAACGAAATCGTCAAACCGCAAAATCGAACTGAAACCGTTGGTTTGGTTCCACGTGAATCTGTCAACGTTTTGGTTTTGAACCGAGCCAAACCGCTTCGAAGTGGTTTGGTTTAGGTTTCAATCTTTGTAAACCGTTTCAAACCGTAAAACTGTTTACCAAAAAAATTTGAAAATAAATTATTCTAAATTTTATTTAACCCAATTAAAATTTAACACATTTCAATTAAAAAAATACATCTATATTAGACATGATTTAATTAAACTCAAATCGATAATTATACATCTCAATTAATTAATTAATCATATCTAAATATTCATAAGTTATCATAACCGTGAATGTAAAATCTTCAAATTGGGTAAAGTGTTGAACAACTGATACTAAACCACATTTATCGATTCTCCATTACAATTGAGTAGAGAATAAAATCTAGATTTTAATTCAAACGTGCACATTTCATTTCCGTCTAATAATTTTCTCAAATTTTGCTCAAATTCAAGTCAGACAATAAATTTTTTAATATTATTTTGTTCTAATAATTGTCAGTTTGTCCGTCTCCCTTAAAGTAATTCACCTATATTTAGATTTAGCAGAATCATTGAATGATTCACAAAAAATCATAGTAGCTAGATGCTATTGTTTTTGAATTTTTTTAATTCATTTTCTTTTATTAATTATTTTATATCATTTAACTATAATCGATGAATTTATGTACTATATTTTTATATTTATGAAGAAAATGAATCATGTATTACACTTGCAAATGGATCTCATTAGTATCGACTATAAATTTAAAATATATATGTCATGTTTGTTGCATTATAATGATTATAATAATATAACTTTGATTTGTAATTTTTTTAAGAACACAATTTGTGTTTAAAATGAAATTTTAGACTAATATTTATGATTTAACTTATTTGATATATATTAAATTTTTTTGTTAAACCGTGGTCATTTTCTTTTATTAATTATTTTACATCATTTAACTATAATCAATGAATTTATGTACTATACTTTTATATTTATGAAGAAAATAAATCATGTATTACACTTGCCGATGGACGCCATTAATATCGATTAAGAGTTTAAAATATTTATGTCATGTTGTTGCATTATAATGATTATAATTATATAACTTTGATTTGTACTTTTTTAATATTACAATTTATATTTTAACATGAAATTTTAGACTAATATTTATGATTTAACTTATTTGATATATATTATTATTTTTTTATTAAACCGTGGTTTTAAACCGAACCAAACCGAAAAAAATGGTTTGGATTGGTTTTGTTTGGAAAAATTTCAAACCGCTTTAAATGCTTTGATTTGAAAATTTGTCTCAAACTGTTCAAATCGAACCGTGTTCACTCCTAAATTAAGCTATTGGGCCAAATTCCCTAATTATTTAACAAACTCTCCCAATAAAAGATTCGAGTTAATTGTTCCAATAGTCATTAAACTTATGCCAATGTCTTTGACTGGTCACTAAAATTTAAAATGTCAAATTTTGGTCACTAAACTTGGGTTAATGTCTTCGATTGCTCAATGAACTTAGGTACACGTCTTAGATTGCTAAGTTTAAAATGTCGAGTTTTGACCATTAAATTTTGAAATATGTCGGACGTTACTCACTAGCATAGCTGTTGAACTTTGAAAAATATCGAATTTACAGAGAATAATGTACATCTTTTTTCAAAGTTCAGAAAATAATATACAATATTTTTCAAAATTTAATGATTAATGCACAATATTTTTCAAAACTTAATGATCAAAACTCGATATTTTAATCTTCAATAAGTAATCAAAGACATGAACCTAAATTCAATTATCAAAATTTAATATTTTAAATTTCAATGAACAATTAAATTCATGGACCCAAATTCAATAACTATTCAAACGGAACTCGAAACATTCGGTAAATAAAAAAACCAAAAAGAAGACAAAAACGACACGCTCATACATTCTTAGCCGACCGTGGAAGATGAGAAGCACTAGCGCCGCCGCCACAATTACTCCGTCGTTGCTCAGTTCCTCCACCTCCTTTACCTCTGGCAGAACGTTCAAATTTCCTGTCAAAACCTCAATTCCGGTCAAATTTCGCTGGAGAAAACCCACCACTACCTCCGCTGCTTCTTCTCCCTCAAGTAAAGAATCATTATATTTTTGAAGTAAACATGCACAAATACACACTGGATTCTTTTCATGTAATATTTGTTCTGAATTATTACAGATGGAATTGCGTCTTGCAAATCAAATTCGAATGCATTTCGGAGGAGAGCGCTTATGTATATGGCAACGGCTTCGTTTCTCCTCTCTCAGAGCACCAGTTATGCTGTTGCTGCTGAGTAAGTCTAAATCATAACCTTAATATTTATTTTATTTTTGAAGCTAATAAATATCTGATTTTTGTTAGCAAGTATTAATCTTGATAATGCAATAATGGGGAATCTGTATGTTATGCTTTGACTGTTGAATATTGAATAGGCCAGAGGCCTTTTTCAGCCATTCGAATATGGAAAAAGTAGCTTGGTGATTGGCAAGGCCTTGCTATTAGTTATGAAGAGCACCTGCGAGTATTGTTTAGTGATTATAACAAAAATGTAAATTTAAGTACATCTTGCAAGTAATACAGTACTTGAAGTTTTTCGATGGCAAAGCCTACACTGATATTTGTAAGTTTTCAGACTGAATTTGTAAGAATGTTAATAAATAGATAATTTTATAAGCGAAATTTTTTCATCCCAGCTTGATTGCAAACTTATATTCATAATTAGTATATTCATTTCTGTATATGCCTGAATTCTGCACCCTGGCGCATTCTAGAATAACTCATGCTAGCATTAGTTACAATTACAAAATTTTTGAAGAAGTAGACTCACATACTTTTTTATTATATATTGCCTGATAACTTAAGCTATGGTGCCAGTGAAGGTTCTCTCTTACATGAAGAGATCAGGAAGGTATTATCCAAGGCCAAAGCTGCTGGTTTACTTCGTTTAGTTTTTCATGATGCAGGGACTTTTGATAAGGACGATAAAACAGGTATTGTTTATAGAATCTTTATTATACTTCTGATTAAGAGAAAGAAAGGAATTTTGTCCTTAAACATGACGAGCATGATTGACAACACTAACCTAAGTCTAATTTCCAATTAATTAAGGATGTATGTGATTCCTTTTTCGCCACTCTGATTGTCCATCACTATATATACTAGGACTTCCAACTAATTTCCAGTTAATGTAAGGTGACACATGATTCCTTTTTTGTCACTCAATTCAATTCATACAATAAGTAATAGGATATCCAGCAAAATCCAATCTTTCTCAATCGCAATAGGCCATGTAGATTTTCGTCTACCTCTCCCTTTTTTATTCTTTTCTTCTTGGATGTGCATCACTCTTTGAATATGGGAGCTTCTTTAGGTCTATGTAAGACTTGTCCAGAGAGCTGTTAAAAACGTAGTGCATTGCCAATGATCATCTATTGATGATCATATTTGCCTTCTTGGATGACCACCCCTGCACTAGTGTCCTCATGGAAACAAATCTTTTCTGGTCTTTGCAGTTTATTATTTTCTTGCCTTTTTTTGGCTCTGTGTTCTATGTTAAATATTATGAATTTATGATCTTCTGGATAATTCTATTTTGTTACTTTAGGTGGTATGAATGGCTCTGTAGTTTATGAACTCGAAAGACCTGAGAATGCAGGTCTTAAGAAGTCCCTAAAGGCAATCTCTCTCTCTCTCCCTCCCTCCCTCCCTTTTCCATGTAACATTTATGTACATGCATAATAACATGTTTGTTAAAACATTTTTAATATGCTTTCTTTGCTTATCAAATTTGAGGTTCTTGTTGTCTTCGATTATACATCCAGCACGATCAACCCTCTCACAACCTCCAGTTGGCTAACTCAATGGATGCATTGTTGTCTAGATTCTGGAGAAAGCAAAGATTCAAGTGGATGCTGTAGAACCAGGTACTTTTGCGCAGTAACTGTTTCCATAGCTTCTGTGTGTGGTCATTATGTAGCCATCTAAATCGTTTGCTGCTGGTATGCTTATCAGTATCCTGGGCAGATATGATAGCTGTTGCTGGAGCAGAGGCCATTTTAGTATGTGGAGGTCCAAAAATCCCTGTTCAGTTGGGAAGACTAGATGCAAAGTGAGGGCTTTTTTTTCAATTTTATTTATTTTTTTTTTTTTTTAAGAATCACATTACTTCAAGACCTTTTTTAATTTTTTTTAACCAAAATATCATTTACTAACTTTATACATAGCCACCTTGACCACCATAACTATTGATTCAACAGCTTACCTGATAACAGCCAGCATTATTGCATTACAGTACTGACTATCGCTGTTGTTTGCCTTTTCTTCTCAGATTCGTATTAATACTGCTTGGTTAATTTTATTGTACACATCGCTCACCATGGTATCATTCAATCCTTGCTCAAAGTCATACCACGCTTCTGTTATAGCACTGAGCTATAGTCATCACCACTAATTTGACCACTGCCGCTGCAGTTGCATCTGATACACAACTATTTTACTCAATCGGTGTGATCTAGTGAATACCGCTTCAGCAGTAGTATAATTAATTTTTGAAACTAACCTATAAGTATTAGTATTCTATTGTTGTTCTCAGCAATGTTGTTCTATATAACACACCATATTCGATCACCCATCCTGGAGATGGATTCTAGATTTTAATGTCCTTAAATTTCTTGTAATTTTATAAACTAATTTGTTAATTGAAGTTTTTCAAAGTCAAATGAACATATATCGCATTTTAGTTAGAGCTTCCTGGTAAGCAGACTTGAGAGATACTTTGAACTTTTCAGAGGCATCTTGACATTTTCACTTGATGTCTTGAAATGGGAAGACTTTCTCAACAGGAAGTCTCTGTTTTATTAGTCGTTATATTTTCCTTCATAGAATGGCTGATCCTGATGGAAAGCTTCCTGAGGAATCTCTGGATGTCATAGCCCTAAAGCAGTGTTTTGACAGAAAAGGCTTCACGTGAGTATTGATGCTGGGCTTGAAATTTCTCTTACTTTTCTTCTTCTTCTTGCTGTAAGTTTATTGCCTTTAACTGTTATGGAATCATTATAACCTTTCATTGTTTTTCTATCATTCTTCTTATTTACTAATATTAAACAGAAATATGTAATCTTATTCGTGAAAGTTTGTAATAGTGGCATCATTTTTTCCTCAATCGTAGACAACTTCTCTATAAAAGTCAGAAAGCTTTATCTCTGTCCTAGTTATGAACTCCGAATTCAATATTTTAATGTATAGGGACTTTGCATGTTTGGGATTTCTAGCTCTGTATGCTGATATAGCCAGAATGTCTTGCACATAGAGTAATGCTATTTAGCATCACTGTTGGTATAATACCATTCTGGGTCGACACATTAGGTGTCATTAAATGAAAGTTACAATTAAATGAATCAAATAATTTCACTTTTAATTGGACCTGTTACATAATACAATACGGACTTGTGCTTTAGCACCTCTGGTGTTAGATACCATTATTCTATGTGCTAATACAATATGTACCTGCTATAAAAAAAAAAAAAAACTTATTATCTCAGTTATTAAAATGATTTTATGCATGCTAAATTGTTTTAACCTTTCTTTCACTGTTCAAATGAGTAGCCTAAATTCTCAAGCGATTAAATTCCTTTATATTGTTTATACGTGATCACCAGATATGTATCTCTAGTTTTATTTTATGCCAATTAGGTTCCTCAATTAAATCATAGGGAGTAACTGTTAAAAGGAGAATTTATTGACAGAACTAAGGAGCTTGTTGCATTATCTGGAGCTCACACTCTCGGAAGCAAAGGTTTCGGAAATCCCGTTGTTTTCGACAATTCGTACTACAAAATTCTCCTAGAGAAGCCATGGTTGTCTTCAGGTGCTTCACAAGTTTCTTTCTTCTGCCATCTTGTTTTAAATCCCATCCAATCATTCCAAGTGATTACCAACTAAGCAGATGGTTCATGTCTCCAAGCAACTGCTCATAATCAATACCGTCTCAGAGAGAAAATTCTTAAACTTATAGCTATAAGTGTTGGAGTTAGGTCTGAATCCAGAAAGGGAAAATGGCACTTGTAGTTCCATGTCCCACTATTGTTTTAAAGACTTTGCAACATCCTCCAGCATTGTCAGTGATCGACTTTCTTATTCCTCAGATCTTAATTTTTACAATGGTTCCACCCATTTATTTATTTTTTTTTCACCTTCTATACGCAGATGGGATGTCTAGTATGATTGGCCTACCTTCAGATCGTGCACTTGTTGAGGATGATGACTGCATGAGGTATGCATTTTCATGGCCATCTTTATATGACATACATCTGCTCTCACGATTAATTATAGTCAGGTAAACTTACTCTAATTGAAGTTCGGAACTGACACACAAATGAGCATGTGGTTGGTTTATTATGATATGTTAATAGAGGTTACATGCAGACACAATTGTAATTTAGTGTAAAATTCTTATATATGTCCAGTTTATGTTAATATAAAAATGGTTGAGTGTTGTGGATCCATCCAAATTAACCCTCTGCAGAATTAGTAGAAACTGACTGTACTTTTTGCAAGTGAAGTCTATGGAGTTGTTTTCTTCTTTCTGAGTTGGTCTTAGATATTCGCCTACTAATCGTTTCCCTTGTTTGGTTCACAGGTGGATCTCAAAGTATGCCAATGATCAGAGTTTGTTCTTTGAAGATTTTAAGAATGTCTATATTAAGCTTGTAAATACCGGTGCAAAATGGAGAAGATCTGCATGATACTCTTAGAAAGGAATGGTATGGCATTTCTCACAGCCTCTACATAATTTGGCAATACCTTGGTGTCATTAGCAACTGGAACGTTCTTGAGTCAATGATTGTATTGATACGGTTCGAGGAGATGGTAAAATCTGCTGAGGAAATCTGGAATTAAAAAAAAAAATAATGAAATAGTATACACAGAAGTCACCAGTATATAGAGTGAATGTTACATATATAGGTTCAAATGCACTTGTTTGTCAAAAATCACTGTAATTAACCTTAATATTTCGCCAAATACAATTATTTATATTTGCTCAAAATTCCCTTGCTTGTAGGCAAAGAAGGTATTTATTTATTTATTTATTTTTTCTGAGAATTAGGTGCAGACTGAAGTCTGAATTAACTTTGTTTTCAAGTTTCTTTCAATATCTTTCCAGGATAATAGACTTGTATTTCTTTAAGGTTATCCAACAGACAACTTCAAAATTTAAGGGAAAATTTCACCACGGATCCTCCCATTCTTCGACCCTTTCCCGGAAGTCGATGACTATTCATAGCTATTACCTTGACACCAAAGAAGAGTTCAACCCAATACTTTATTTCTGTCCTAGTATGTACGAGGATCCCCGCTAAGCATCCATGGCTGAATGGTTAAAGCGCCCAACTCATAATGGGCGAATTCGTAGGTTCAATTCCTATTGGATGCACGCCAATGGGACCCTCCAATAATCTTTTGTAATTTTAGCACACGTCTCCAACCTATCGTTTGTTGTATTTATCCTCCTAGCTATTTAAACTATGATGCCCATTTCTTTGGGCCAACCAGCGGTCAGGGGGACAAAAAAAATAAAAATTTATACTAAATGGGTGTGTGTGTGTGTATATATATATATATATATATATATATATATATATTTTTTTTTTTT